AGGTTTGACTGTACCGGGATTATTATTTCACCCTCTCATAGGGATAAATTCGTCTTTAGCCAAGGGTTTTCCGGAAACAGCCTCCCTGCCCTTCACGGGTAGGGGTAAGGCTGCGTACATTCTACCCTTCCCCAGACCCCACTTTGAAAATACACTAGCATGTTGTTGTTGTTGTTGTTGTTGTTGTTGTTGTCTCATAGGGATAAATAAATACTACATTAAATTAAATGTAATTTGATTTTGAATTTTGGGTGCACCCACTCATCAGTAAAAAAAGAAAGTTTTGTGCACCCACTTAGCTAAAAAAAATATGTACTCCTTTAAAGTTCGAACACCCATGACGAATTTTCTGGTTACGCTAGTGATACTGTATATGTTGTTATTAATGATATGCGTGAAGTAACAAGTAAAAATGAAAATTTATTTTTAAAATATTTAACAGCTAAAAGAGAACGAGTACTAGTATTTCCATAATAATAAACAATATTATTATTTTCTGAAAAATATGACCCCATTACCCATAATAATAAACACGAGTAATATTAACGGTTCTCGAGGACAACAAATACGAGAGTTGGAGAACAAATTTGGTTATTTGGAAATTCAAAAGAAACCCTTGTGCAAAACCTGAAACTGTTAGATTATGGTAATCCACCTCCGCTATTATATAGGAGCACTCTTGTTTGATCAAAAATCTTTCCACCATCTGTCAAAATTATTCTCAAAACCTAACAGTGCTATCTTCATCTTCATCTTCATCTTCTTCTCCTTCTACAATGGAAAACGAACTTCCGATTAGTAGACGTTTCTTCAAAGTCATGGTGCCTGGTTTCCATGCAAAACTTGTAAGATACTACTTTCTTTTTATTTTTCCCCTTTAATAATCTCGACCCTTTTACCCAATTTTCTTTTGAATCCTGTTTTTATGTAGTATCAGTTTTTCTAACCTCCAAGACTTTGTTTCTCTAACTTCTATTCGGGTTTTTTTTGAATTCACCAGCCAATTCCACCAGATTTTTGTTTGAAGCTAAAAGGGGAAAAATCAGAAAAAGGGACTTTAAAACATGGAAAGGGTACATGGAATGTAGAAATTGGTCGATCGAAGAATGGGGTTATGTGGTTTGATAAGGGTTGGGAACAATTTGTGCAAAATTATAACCTAAGAATTGGAGACTTTGCTGTGTTTGAGCACTTGGGTAATATGAATTTCAGTGTTAGCCTTCTTGATTCTACTGGTTGTGACAAAAAGTATTTGATGTTGGAAGATGGTAAACAACAACAACAAGTACCTTCCCAGGTGAAATCTCCAGAGTGCAGAATAGGTAAGTTTCCTAGATTGTTAATTTTCCTATATTGATCTGTAAAACACACAGTGTATTCCTCATATTAATCACTTGTGGTAATAAATTTGACACCAACCAGACACCTTAGTCGCGTTCTTTTCCTAACATAGTAAGCTAGATTCTTTTGCTTGGATTTCCTACCGCTGAAGTTGATGTTCAAGATCTGTATTTAGGTATAGACAACTATGGTAGTAGTAGTAGTTAAAGTAACTGGAACTAATTGTCAATATTTTTGTGAAGACATGTGCTATATGAACTGATATGTCGTCTAATTGAGGGACATGTCTGTTATGAACAAGACAACATGCTTGTAGTAGTTGTAGGGGGATGACATATGCTGCTGAGACAACCTACACTAATTTCCTGATTCGTCTTGTTTAGCACGATTACTGTTACCAAGTATACTTTAGCTTGGTATGATTGTTGTAGTACTACTATGGCAATCAAGAATTGGATTTGGAATAAGAAAGGTTTGATCTATAATAACATTGCTAAAGCCACATCTATGATGAGTAATTTAGTTGAATGGAAAGGAAGGTAATCTAGAGGAGTGGATTTTCTTCTTATGTACATTCCGTTTTGGGTTTAATGCTCTATTTCTCACTTCTGTAGAGAAAAGGAAACCCGAGGGAGATGTACTGCTCCACCAATACGTGAAAGGAAGTTCTGAGTTTACGGCAAGAATAAAAGAATATAACGTCAGAAAACGTTCTCCTTATTTGGTGAGCTTTCAAGTCTTCTTTTCTTTTATCCGAACCTATAATAACAGCACAAACAATGAATTTTTTCTAAATATATCCTATATGATCTTTTCCTGATTTGCTCTTATGACAGCATATACCCACGGAATTTTGTCATTCAAATGCACTCCTTCAGAATACAATCATAACGTTAACAGGTCCATCGGGTATATCATGTCCTGTGAGTCTAAGAATTTGCTCTGGTGGGAAGACTTTATATGTCATTATGACAACAGGCTGGCGTAACTTCTTTTTAAGCAACAAGCTAAAAGTAGGAGATGTTTGCATCTTCCAAATTGATCGCACAAATAGCGACTCAAAATCCATTACAATGAATGTCCGTGTCATGTAGGCTGTACCTTGTAAACTTAATTTCATTAGGTAAAGGTTCATTAATTGGCTGATCAGCAATGAGTTGTACTGCTAGCTGCTGCAGAGAAAATAGGCGCAGCACGTGTTATCCCTAGCGAAAAAATGAGCATGAAAGCTGCAATGTCACTGAGATTTCCCAAGAAGCAGCTCTTCAGGGAGAAGAAAGCTCTATTTTTGTGGAGAGAATATACTAGCTCTTGCTACCGAAATCTGGCAGTAAAGAAATGCTGAGGTTTTCCCCTGTCTTGACAGTGTAGTACTTTGGCTACAGCCTGTGAGTTATGATATACTCATTTGGCGTTGTACATTTGTTTAAAGGGGTGTATCCCCAGATTATTTTATTGTATTTTGAAACGTAATGAATATCTTGGGCATTCTTCCCAAGTCAATTAATAGTATTTTTCATATTTTTTCGTTCCTTTTATGAGAAAAGAAGTGTTATATTTTGTTAAAGAAAGTTATTCAGAGCGTTTGCTTCATTTCTTATCATCTCATCTGCGTAGTTCAGATAAGCACTTCTGATCTTGATTCTGGTGTATCAGCTGCAGGACAGACTTGAATCAATATTCGCAATGCTACAATGTAAACTTGCACATTATGTTTTGGCCATTATAGAAAACCTTCAAAAGATGGTATATGTTGGTTTGATTTTTGGATGGGAAGAAAACAACAATGGATTCGTATGCTGGTCCATTAATTGTTGTTCTGTTGTGTAGCTACTTCTATATTCTGCAAAACTTCTCACTACCATAATTTGGCTACAAGAACGAAGACAAAAAGGACACTCCCATTTTCGTGCAGTATCATGAGTTTTTTATTACTATCAAATTTGGAGATATTTTTGTAATTTCAAATCTAGGGGTATCTGTTCTATTAGTGTCATGGGTTTTATTGAAAATGCAGTGAAAAAGAGTTCGCTCTTCATAAACACAGAATTGAAAAGAGGAAGTAAAAGGAACACCACCCCAAACAGCTCCTCTTTTTTGAACTCATCTTGAAACCTGTCTTGCGAAGAATGTTATCACTGATGTTTGTGAGACTTGTATGATGTTGGGGATAGAATCACGGGTTGCGGGTCGCTCCATATGGGCTGACCCAACTTGGTTAAGAGAGATACGGCTAAGAAGTTAAAACCTGCAGAATTGTTACCACATATTAATAACCTCTACGATTACTGAAGTGCAGAATTGTTTTTATATATATTCAAGTAGGTTTTTTCATCATAATCACTTGTATTATTGGCTAAACAAAATATTATGTTAATACCCTTGGTATGAAACCAAGTGATAATTTACCTATAATAACAATTAGGAAGATTCCAAATCAATGACCAGTAAAACCTTTGATCCTTGAATATCGGGAGAAATTCAAAAATAGCCAGATTTACCACTGGTCGTTGAAAAATAGCTAAGTTTCAAAAATCCTCGAAATTTAGCCACTTTAAATCTGAGCGAAAACACTGTTCAAAATCCGGAAAAATACGCCCGCAAATTTTACGGGAGTTCCAGCATAAGTATGCTTGAACTCCCGTAAATTTTACGGGAGTTAATATGCTGGAGTTTGTACACAAATGCACCAGAACTCCCGTATATTATACTGGACCGGTCCCTGTTGCAGCAAAATAGTGGCTATTTTTCATTGACTTGATAAACACTGGCTATTTTTCATTGACCAGTGTGAAAACTGGCTATACCATGATATTTTAACTTGAATATCTGGTAATACTAAATACTGGTTTCTGATGAGAACATCTTTATTAATGATTAGATAGCTCTAAGTAGTTGGAGAATTATGTCACTTGATGTGATGGCCCGATAGGTCATTTTGAGTTTTAGCTTTTATTTCCGTGTTCTGAGACCTCGACTAGCTCCATTTAGTGTTCCTCTATTTGCATGCGCAGTCCGTGTCTTGTTCCGGAAAGTTTTTATGTGGAAAATTGAGGAAAATGTGAAATTTTGCCTTAAAAATGATTTGAGTTGACTACAGTCAGTATTTTATGTAAATGGACTTGGATCAGTGTTTTGACGGTCTTGGTGGTTCCGTATCGTAATTCCGGACTTGGGCGTATGCCCAGAATTGATTTTGGAAGTTCGTAGGTAGAATTGTGTTAATTTGCCGAAATTTGACAATTTGAAGTTGAAAGGTTTGACCGTTGTTGACTTTTAGCTATCGAGCTCGGAATTTAATTTTTGCACATGGAATGGGTCCGTTATGGTATTTAGAACTTCTTTGCAAAATTTGGTGTCGTTTGGAGTTGAATAGGATTCAGACGTTAAGTTGTAATTTTAGAAATTCTTGAACTTTACTTTGAAATTCATGCATTTTAGAGTTCAATTCGTAGTTTTAGATGTAGTTTTTGTGTTTTGATCGCGCGAACGAGTTCGTATGATATTTTTTGTCTTGTGTGGATGTTTGGGTTAGAGCCCCGAGGCCTAGGATGTGTTTCGGACATGTTCCGAAGTGGGTTTGAACTGAAATTTGACTGCTGGTGTTGCTAGTGCTCAAGTATCGCATTTGCGAGCACCAGCATCGCAATTGCAAGGTGACAGTGGGGGCTCGATTGTCGCAATTGCGACATCCCCTTCATATTTGCGAAGTCTGCCAGATTTTGCCTTGGTTCGCAATTACGAACATTTGTTCACATTTTCCAAACTCCTAGCTTGCAATTACGAGGTCTCATGAGGCTGTCAGGGTTCGCAAATGTGAGCCATGGTTCGCAATTGTGAGGGTTCGCAAATGCGAACTTTGTGTCGCAAATGCGACATCTTCAACTGGTAAAAGGGCTGGGAGACGTGATTTTTGGAAACATTCTCTCATTTTGAACCCTAGACTCGATAAGAGGCGGTTTTGAAGAGAGAATTTTATCTACAAACTTTTGGTAGGTGATTCTAATCAATTTCTAATCATATTCCATCAATTTATCCTAGATTTTAACATCAAATTCACGTGAATTAAAGTGAATTTTTTTATGAAACCTTGTCAAGTTTTTGAAAAATAGTAAATTGAGTTTTGAAAGTCGATTTGGACTCGGATTTTGAAACTAATCACATATATGAACTTGTAGGGTCATGGGTAGTCGGAATCTACCTTTGGACCCAAGTTTTGACCGGACAGGCTCCGGATTAACTTTTATTGACTTTTTGGAAAAGTGTAAAGATCTTAGCTTTATCTATTGTAATTGATTTCCCTAGCATTGTTTGATGATATTAAGTCGGCTTTGGTTAGATTCGACTGGTTTGGAGGTGAAATTTAGAGGAAAGGCCCCGGTTGAGCTTTGACTTGATTGCGGAACGAGGTATGTATTGGGTCTAACCTCGATTTCAGGGAATTAAGAACCTTTGAATGTTAGGTGAATTACGTGTGAAATTGCATATATGCGAGGTGACGAGTATATATACGCCGTCAAAATAGTTGTTTCCATATTTTCTCGTATTTCATGAATTATCTCATTTCATGCCTTAATTGTTACATGCTTTAATTGCTTTTCATGCCGTAATTTGTTTTTTTCATTGATTATTCTTGTATTGAATTGTTCGTCCCTTGCATGACTTTGTGATTAATTAGTACATGCCTTAAATGTTTTACTTACACACCTTAATTGTCACTTGCTTTACTTGTCTTGTTGTTTTTGCAATATTTGTTGTATTTCTTTGATTATTACATGGTTCATTTATTGCCTTGTACTCATACTTTGATTGTAGAAATTCTTGTAAATTGAATTATCGGGTTGTTTATGTTTATTGAAATTGTTTGTGGGTCGGGTTGCACACTGCAACGGGAATTGAAGGATAACAAATTGAAATGGCGGAATAAGGAAGGATTATGATATAGATAAATAATGATATGGTGGGATTGGGTTGCGCGCCGCAACGGTTGTGTACGTAATACTTGATATTGATAAATAGTGATATGGTGTAATAAGAGAGGATTATGGCATTAATTATGATGATATGGCGGGATTGGGTTGTGCGCTGCAATAGATTGTATACGTGATTCTTGATATTGACAAATAATGCTATGGTGAAGTAAGGGAGGATTGTGGGTGTACGGTGGGATCGGGTTGCGCGCCGCAACAGATGGTGTGTGTTGTACTCATTGTTGTTATTGTATTAGTTTTCAGCATTTTTATATGAAATTACGAGGTCTGTTATTCTAGCTCTCTGATTATGAGGTTTGAGTTCATTTTCATAAATTAACTGCCTTACTTTCATTTCCTGTTTTCCTTCATTGTTATTATTATTATTATTACTGCATACAGGTTATTGTAAGTGGCACGCTTTAGCCTCATCACTACTTCGTCGAGGTTAGGCTCGGCACTTACAGATTACATGGGGTCGGTTATACTCTTGTGCAGATAGCGGAGTTGGTCCTAGCGGCGTTCAGTAGATTTTCTTGGATCTAGTTGTTGACGAAGATATGAGGTACAACTGCACATCGTTCGTAGCCATGAAGTCTTCTTACCTCCTATCTTTACTGTTTTTCTGAGTTTCAAAGCAGTGTATTTTATTCAATTTATTCAAAGGAAAGACCTGGGATATTGTAATCTGGAATCCTTTCAATTTATAAGACAAACCATATAATAAAGAAAATGAAGTAGATAACTAGGTATGAATATATATATATATATATATCAAAAACGATTAACTTATGTAGATCAATCCCCTATCAATCGATTCAATCCTATAATTAATGTTCATAATATTATTCAAATAATAAAAGAAATTAAAAGAATTTTATTCGTCCGTCCAATTCCATTCCCTCAATTATGCAGGATTCATTGGCCAAAAATTTACACACCATAATGCCATAACTTACAGTTAACAGAATAATGAATCCCTCGACTGAAACATTGCCATTTGAACCATTTTCAATCAATATTTAGCAGATGGGACTGAATCCCAAGTGACATTATCACCATGCATATTATTCTGCATCATCATTGGTGCCTTCTCTGAAACACTCCAAACTTTTACTGATTTATCAAGACTTCCACTATAAACCACCCATTTCTGATCACTTCCAGTGGACTCTTTGTCCTCCTCCACTGCTAGACATTTCACTGGTCCATTGTGACCTGTTAAAACTGAAAGCAATGTATGAACAGACTTTTCCCTTCTCCATACACATATAGTTTTATCTGCTGATCCACTGAGCACCAAATTTCCAGCAGCTGCAAGGCATAAAATTGCCAATTTGTGGCCCTTGAGGACTCCACCATGCGACAACTGCTTCTCGCGTTCCCAAAAATTGACAACACCATCAGATGAACCACAGTAAACTATTGAACCAGTTCTGTTGACAGCCAAAGCTGTCACTGCACATTCTTGATTCAGAAGTGTCTGAACAAAAACATGTTTTGTGTTCTTTCCAGAGTTTTCCCTCTGCCAAACCTTCACTGTTCCATCTGCTGATCCTGTATACACTATGCCTTCCACGCTGGTCACCACAGAGTTCACAGCATCATCATGGGCTTTCACTGATTCTATGCATTTCGAGTTATCAACGTTCCATACCTTAAACATGGGCGCATGCACGTTAAAAAAATTACTCTACACATAATACTAAAACAAGAAATTAATATAGATAACATAAAGAAATTGATATGCATGTTCGTTTATTTCTTTAAATATTGACATTGTTTAGCTTGTGAAAAATTGTGTGTTTCGCTGCTGACCTTAAATGTTCTGTCCCACGAAGCAGAATAGAGAAGACCATGGGTTTGATCCATGCTCAAGCATGAAATGGCATCAACATGCTTGATCCATAAACCAGTCCTATTACGCTTAACTTCCACATAATTGCTGGGCTTAATGGATGCCTTAAAAATGTCAAAGAATGATGGCAAAGTCCCAGCACGTTTATAAGTACCAGGATTCTTTGCTTGGATCTTCCAAACACGAACTTTTCCATCTTGATGACCTGTGAAAATTTTCTCACCTGAAATAATTATAGCTTTAACAAGGCCACTATTGGATTTGAATGCTGCAAATTCCTTCAAGTTCTTCCAAACGCGTATGTTCTTGCTATCTGATCCTGTGTAGAGAAGATCATTTTTTGTAGCCAAAGAATAAATGTGACCTTCTTCACGTATGAGTGAACCAATGAGGCCATTTTGAGGGATATTTTGGGAATTTCCATCTTGATCATCAAATTTGGACCAAGGGGATTTAGAAAAAGGAGAGCCTTGATTCCATGGGGACATCATCATAGGAGAACCTTCACCACTAAGACGATTGGCTTCATAGGCAGAGAAGCTACTGTGCCTTGCATTGTAATTGTTATCCGCGTCGTCGTGATTAATGTTTGTGGTAGATATGTTGGGATCAGAATGAACAATGTTGCCTAATTTAGGAGGCAAATGGCTTGTTTCAACAAACATTGTGGTGGTTAATTACTTTGGCCTTCTCTCTTGTCGTTGCGATCAGTTTCTATTTTCTCAGATCTTCCAGCATAAAGAAAAACGGAAACAATAGTTTTTACCTTAATTATTATGAGAAGAAAAGGCAAAGAAAAAATGGATGAACCAAGTAAAGAAGAAATAGAATGTTTGGAAGGGGATGAAGGGAAGGGAGAGAGTGGAAGAGAGATTTTGTAGGGAAATGCATTCACTTAATATACCGGAATTCCAAACTAGAGGCTATAAATTATGAGTTTAACTACAGGTCATCAATTTTTTAATTTCTTAATAAATATTGACTCATGAAATTAATAATACTTCTTGCATGTACCGACTAATGATAAGTTTTCGTTTTTTGCATTGCTTGTGTTCGAGTGTTGATAAGTAATTACATTTGTCGTAAAATATCTAGTGGTCAGTTGATATTCGGGAGTAATAAACATGATGCAAAAATGAAGTAAATAAAGTTTAGAGATATAAGAAGTGAGCTTCAGTGCAATAATGACTCACTTCATGTGCAATAATTGGTACGGTACATGAGAGGTTTAGTCATTATGCCAGACAACCTTTGGGTAATTTCATTTTAAATTTCGTTTAGCTTAAGGGCAGCAACCAGTAATGAAGGTCGTCGGAAAATAATATTATTCAAATAGGGTAAAAAAAAATTATTTGCATATGTATAAACTTTGAATCTTCTTGACATAAGAAAAGCTTTTACTGTTGTGATAAAGACAGTTTAGTAATTGCTTTATGCTGTAGGTATGATTTTCATATGCAAAATTTTTACACGTTTTTTAATTTAAATTCCTTTGTTAAAATTCTTGACACCGTCATTGACAGTAACAAGCCCTTAAGATACACGAATGGGGAAGAGAAGCAATTTACAATAGCACAAGAAAAAACAAAATGGTTGAAAGATGAAAATTAGTAGGTCGGATGATGTTGGTCACAGCTCTTACTGTCAATAATGTTGTTTACCCTAAAAATTGAATAACAATTAAACTTGTAATATAATTTTAAGGATATGTGATTTCACTTAATACCAATTGAGAGATGTAAAGATAAGTAATTAAATTGACAATAATGTAAAGTAAACCAATATTTGAGCAGAGCCCTCGAGTTGGAATGCTCTCGAGCTTAGTAGAGCAAGAAAGGAGCAAACTGATAAACAAGAGAATGTAAATTAAAGAGAGAATAGTACATTGCAGATCTGTGTGGATGTAAGGTGTTTACAAATGACGGGGACCCCTCTTTATATAGACTATAGTAGAGGAATCCTAATTATGGTATAACTCTAATTACAGAAGTAAATCCTATGATTAGCCTAAACAACCGCCCTTGATTTGATCTGTTCCGGGATTGCCGCCGTGATCTTCTGCCGGTTACGGGTATCTCGCCTTTCCGTTATTGTGCTTCGTTCGAAGTCGGTCATATATGGTCTCGACCGCTGTTGGCCTCGATCTCGATGAGCACCTCGATTCTCGAGCTCGATACCTTATCTTCGTGCTCTAACCTAATCCATTACGAGATCGACCCACGATGTGATTTCCCAGTCTCGATGAAATGGCAAAATCGGGCAAACCCTATTTTAACCGTGTACAAATATAAATTCCACTGGTTTTGAGAAGCATTAACGTCTTTCCTATATCTTATACAAATGACTACAATATGGGCAACATGATTTTATTTTCTATTCAACTTATGAACTCGCATCGGTCTGGAGACGATCAATTATGTTAAATTTTTCTGTTTTAAGAGAAACATATTATTACTTCTCGGCAAGCATAGCTTGCGCGAGACCAACTTGTCATATATGACCTAATATATCATAGAAGTTGAAGTCAATCAATTTCATTCTTTGACTTTGGTGTATCATGATGAAGGATTTACACCTAAGCATTTAATATTTCATAGTAAATCTATCTCTACAGTATTTACCCGTAAACGGTATAGGTGAATTAGTAACGTGGTTTATAGACACGTGAATTGATTTGATCCAAAAATTTGAAGTGCACAAGAACAAAAATTAGATTTTCAAAATGACTTAAAAGAAGTACAAGCCTGGTTGTGAATTTAGTTTCTTCGATAGCAGAAATAAGAACAATGTTAAGAACACAAGAAAGAATCAATTCAATAAAATAAGTGTTGAATTAGCTTTTGAGCACAGAATATTTCATGTATAGCTATGAATACAAGTTTAACTATTTATAGCTCTATTCACGGAGACAAGATCTCCAAATCAAGTTCTTCTTGAATGAGAATAAAACCCATATTGATGGATGCATAACGGTTGAACATTGATACAGAGATTCTCTGTTGCAACTTCTCATTGAATGATGTCTTCTCCAACCGATGTCTTCCTTTCAAATCGTCGTTCCCGGTTCCAATGCCTTCAGAACTTATTATGCACCGATCACAAGTCTCTATGCGATGCAAACTATTTGCTGACTCATATCTGACTTGTCTCTAGTTATATGTTTCATCTCTCCATTCATCCACCTGCCGCTAACAAATTTTACTCCATACAGATAGTTCCTCTACTTTCCGGTGACAAACATTTCTGTTATCGAAAAGTAAATAAGACCGCTTTTCTTGGCGGGGAAGTTCCTGAATGGTTTCTGTCACGCCCCAAGCTTGGGGGGGGGGGGGGGGACCAGAACCCGGTGCCTCATCTATCCTTGAGTACCAACTTGCGACTAAGGGACTCTGAACATATAATGTCATATTTTGGACACGGGGCCACATTGCAAGATAATTTGCGCAGCAAAGTATAAAACTGAACGGAAATTAACACAGACTAAACATCAATATAAATCTGGGCCGACAAGGCTGTCATAACTACTACAACTAACAAACCCACAAAATATACATACAAGGCCTACAAACCCAACATACAGTACTAGCTGACAGGTTATGTCTACAAGCCTATACTGATGGATGTACTGTGATCGGAATAGGGCCCCGGCCTACCCATAACCTATATACGTATATACACAAGATGTATACTAAACTCTAGATTCGGCAACTCCGAAGGACGTGGAGCTTACTGATAAAGATAAACTCGGGCAATACCTACTGAGGAGTTCTACCCGTCTGTCTGTCCGAACTTGCACGCATGAAATGCAGCGTCCCAGAAAAAAGGGACGTCAATACGAAATAATGTACCGAGTATGCAAGGCAATAAAATAACTGAAAGCTGAAACTGAACTGATAATATAATAATACTTACCTGCTGATACTGACTCAACTCTCTCAATATAGTAAGTAAAATAAATGTTCGGCCTTATAAGGCTCGGTATATATATATATATATATATATATATATATATATATATATATATATATAACTTCTCTGCCGTAGTAGGCTCGCTTAGATGCGCTCGGCCATACTCTGTATTCGGCCATGCTGGGCTCGCTCATAGGTGCTCGGCCACAGTAAGCTCGGGATATAACTTACTATGTGATCAGAGGTTGCCCAGTAGGGGCCTGCCCACTGATTATAGCTCAATGGTGGTGAAAATACTGTAATAGTATTTCTATATATATATATATAGACCCTTTGCTCTCTTGACCGGAAGAAGACAATACTCAATTGAATATAATTTGTTAATCCCCCATTAACCAGTGGGGAAATTCGGGTACCACCTGAACTGGAACCTCTACCTCTGCCTCGACCTATACCAGCCGAAGACTGAGACTCGCGCACTGAAGGACGCACAAACATAGATGATCTAGTTGCTGAGCTTGCTGGTTGTGCCAAACCCCCAGAATCTCTATTTGGGAAATCTCGCATCATATGCCCCAGACGTCCATATGTATAACAAGCATCGAAATCGGCTCGGCATTGGCCCAAGTTTCCTTTACCACAGATGTCACACTACGGCAGAAATGACCATGTTTGCCCCGAACCTCGCTGTTGCTTCAAACCCGACGCTCGTGAGCTCTCACCTGATCCTAACTGAGTATAGCGATTATACCTGTAACCCTGTAACCGAGGTGGCGGAGGCCTAGGTGGCTGTTCGAAGTATTGGGGCCTATAACTACCCTGAGACTACTCCTGAGACCTGGCAAATCTCATCCTCTTACGTTGCCCTGACTCAGTCTTCTCCATACCCTACTGCCGACGCCTGCCCCTATATATATACTAGTTGGCGGTCTGCCCGGGCCTAAGGACGTTATTAATTTTCTATTTAAAGCAAATTTGAACAAAATCTATGGCCTGATTCAAAATTTTTGAAAACTAAGAATATATCTAATTAACTTTATGAAACTAATAAAAAAATTTACAATGTGGGTGCGTAAATCAAAATATAGTTCTTCTTGTTGCTGCAATTCTATCAGTTTTATTAGGTCGCTAATAGTTTTTTCTTTGCAGCAGAGACAATAAGCTGATCGATTTGCAGAAGTAAAAAATGCCTTAGCACATGTGCGTAATATAAATTATCAAAATGAATAGCTATTGACTTGTCTTCTAAAGCCTCTGCAGCGTATAACAGTCAAAACCACACAAGACTAAAAGACAAGTGTCTCACATAAAGTGAATCTTATTTTTGTAAGCTCAGGCATAAGCTCCTGAATTTCCTTATCAGAGACATATTGTAGCATTATCTTACCATAGTTGTAAACATGGTAAGGTAAAGTCTCACAACTGCCAGTAAACATAAAGAAAATATCATCATCTTTGGTCTATATAGTACAAGCAAGATAAGAAACATTATCAGTAATTTGGACATACTATAACAAGGAAAAAAATAAACGGTGGCTTACCAGTATATTGTCTTCAAGCTAGTAATTAAGTTGTTTTGCATTCAATTGTTTAGAGTTAGTATAAGGGACTTTAGGTAATAGAATGGATTCAAAATTACCTCAAATCAAAATTACCCAATTCAAAATTACCAGATTATTCTTCGCCCGAGCAAACCAAGAAATTAAACCCAAAGATAATAATATAAATCAAATAGAAAGTTTAATTCATTGAAGAATTGTTCTCAACCACATGTACAACAAAGGCCCTTATTCTCAAGAAAATACATAAAAGTTGGATGGGAGGAAGCGAAAATCCGGGCGGAACATAACTAACGTGATAAGTACTTTGGTGAAGTACATAAACTGAACCGTCTCTGAAAATAAACACAGACACAAGAAATAATAGAAGTTTACATAAAAATTTATTTCCGTCAACATAACTTAGAAGGAAATGACATATTACTTTACCTGTAAATCTAAAATATTGAGGCGACAAAGAACTTATAATATCAGCATAACCATCCTTCTTCATAATGACTGACCAGCACCACTACAAAATGCCCTTGTATCCTGCATCAATTCATTGCGAGTATAACTGAAAGTTATTCCAAGACAAAGCAAGCTTAGAAACTCCGCCACATATGTTGGTGGTATCAAAAGGACAATAAATATTTTAATCTGCAAATTTAGGAACATCTGTTTTAGGACAGTGATTTTTGATGAGTTTTAGGATTGAAAAGTTAGTTAACATGATAAGCTATTTTGTATGTCTTATATTTTTATTTTAACATGAGAATTATGATTTTCTTATTTCCCATCAAGAGAGTTCCATTTCCAAGACTTGGTGAAAACATAATTTCTTCTTTTGGGTTTTCTATCAGGATGCTAATATAAATTTCTTATTCTTTAGCATGGGTGCATAGTACTATTTAAGTAAAGAGAAGAATGAATGTCTTAAAACTTAAGCTGAAAAGATTTCTTGATCACTGCCATGAAACAATATCCTTTAATTTACCTTGAGATTCTCTGAGGTGATCTACGATGACTTTATTATATCTTTGCATCCGAAATGCAGTACATGGCGATGAAAGAATTATTAAGTGTCTTGGTCAGTGTACTAAAAGACCAAGTAAAAATAAAGCTGGCCCTTAAGATCCTGCATTATAGCTTTTACAGGAACCAATTTGGAACTCCAAAGTTTCCCATCTTCTTAAAAAAATCTCAAAGATTTTTTTTCCTTTCACATGTCCTTTCACCTAACTAACATCCTCCGATAATGACCTAAAGCCATAGAAGTAGCAAAATTATCCAAATGGGCAGTTGTAGAGTGAAAATCATATTTAACAACTCAAAGCCATATGATTAACGTCCACATTCACTTTAACAAAAGTGAAATTAAACCTGAAGAAATGGCCTCATATTTTATCAAGAAAGGATTTCACAAGAATGCTTTAATGAAGAAAGTTGGTGAAAAATGAACCATGTGTCCTATAAATTTCCAAATAAAATCAGATCAGCTAACAGAAATTTAATATTGCAAGCAAAGGCAAATCATTGGTAGTCAACACTTTATAGAACTTCTAATATCCAAAAAAAGAAAGACCAAAAGCTTATAATGGTAAAGGTTATAAACTCGCACATGATTCAAAATTCTAGTAGCTCTAACTGAATATTTATTAATATTTCTTGTGCTAACTAATATAAGAAAAAATCTTAATGCTTATACTATCTTAAAAAAAGTCATCACATCTGTATAATATTATTAATAGATCAGACAACAGAACATCCAAGATCATGCAAAATAAATAAAGCATAGGTCTATCTCTAAAGTGTAAAAAATGAGCACATGCATGCACAAAATAATAATATCAATAAAAAAAAAGAAGCAGAGGGAGAAAAAAATGATATCAGACAATATTTGATTCATAACTAAAGTTAAAGCAACACTATAAGACCCGTTGTTATGAAACTGACATCAATTATTCAAAAGAGAACATGCAGGTTCAATATTCGGATTAGGCAATATCCATAAAAGCTCAAAATAATCAAACAAAAACAAACAGAAGTAGAGAAAAACATGATTAGACAAATGAATTACGAAGAAGGGAAAATTTCGTAGGGAGCGAGGAAAAACCGCCCAAAATAAAAATACTTACAGGTGGATCAATGAAAGAGGTTGAGAGGAACAAAATAGAAGAGGGGAGCAGTGAGTAAAACTGTGAAATGAACTTAATGAAATTCTGGTAAGGCGTAAAAACCTACAAGCGGCTGCCATGGAACTAAAGATCAGTGGAAGAAGCAAAGAAGAAGAAGGTACTCATACGAGTAAACGAATTTTGCAGCTGTTTGTCCTAATTGAAAAATGGCTATATAATTTTGTGTAATGAAGATTGTGATTATAATTAGATTGCAGCTCAAGCAAAATGGATTCTATTTTGTTTATTAAATTTAAAATCCGGAGAAAGAGTAGTAGTAGTAGTATGGATTGTTTGAGGTATCAAATGTTGTAACTACACGAACAACACATCTCAACTTAAAGCTTCTATGTCAAAGCAAGTATGTAATTCTAAAGGAGTTAAAACTTACTTGCATCAATTATTGTATCTTCCTTGAAAGATGAAATTACAACTTTGTAAAAGGAGTCAAAGTGGGAGAATATTTCTTCTGCGAATTTTCTCCTGGAAGAATCCTATGGTAGTGAGCACACGAATTGTGGGACGGCAAAGTAGGAAAATCTCAAAGAAAATCTTATGAACAACTTACATCTGGGAAAAGTGAAGGTCCTTCAAAGTTACTGTCAATATATCTAATTAGATCCATACTCTCTCCCTTAACTTCATTGTTGTGTTCCAATGATGGTATCTGTGCAAGAAAAGAAATAAGTTCTCGGAGCTGCCTTGGGATGGAAAAGGCGAGCACATGGATCAGCACAACAAAGTGACAATGAAGTGTGATGCAATGAACAAATGTGTATATTGTCACCTAAACCTGTGAGTTAGCTACCGTCAGCTAAACAGGTGAAGTGTAATGCAATGAACAAGTGTGTATATTCTAACTTAAATATGTAATGTTTTTCTACTGTAATTTGCAATCTTCAATAGCACTTATATACACTATCTGTTGGAAGAGATGCATTGGCAAAGATATGATTTAAATAAAAAAGAATACAGAAATTTGGTTAATGCCGATATTTAATTTATTCTATGGCAGGAAAAAATGTATGTATGTTCACGAGAGACATTAAGTGCAATATATTCATCTCAGTTGAGAATATTTTCAGAAGTATATTTTGCTGGAGTGTTTCCTTTAAGTTAATATTTATTTGAAACGCTTGATAGAAACTTAAAAGGAAAAGAGGAGCAGGACGAAGGTCAAATCTCCATTTCCACTTCGTCACTAAGATTATACGGTGAGATATACCTGCTGAATGTTCCTGTCCATCAGGTTTAGGTTTCACAAGTTATCTAGTGGCTTCCTTTGAAACGTTGCTAGCTTCCGGAGGAGCATTCATCAATGACTGAGATTCCATCTTCTCCATGGCAACTGCAACTTCTTCCTCTCAACTTCTGGTGTTGCAACTTTCGCTTTTTCAACTGTTTCAGCTTGTAGCATAGCCTGCATCTGATGTAATAACACCTATCATTATCCACAAGAATAAAATTCAATAAAAAACAACTGCTTCAATTGTTTATAGAATCATTAGAAATAAGCGCATGTTACTAAGTCAGACAATTCCTTTGGCAGTAGTTATCAATATACCATCATATTAGAGTTAGCAAGTTTCGATGAGTTGCATCGTCTAATTCTTGTCATTCAAGCAAGTTGTGTGTATGATCTATCAAATAGATCTTTACATTTCTGCATGATGTATGGTATCTGTTCGTGCAACAGTAGACTAAGGCACCTACAAAGCAACTGATCATCAATTGAATGAGAAGTAAAAATTAAATTGAAACAAATAGGGAAGGTGAAAACAATTTTACCAACAGAATAATAGGAACCAACTATTATGAAAACTAAAAGGGAAAAAAGAGAGCATATCGAGTTCCTAGACATGTGAAACTCTAATCATGTTTTTTCTATTTTATGTTTGTTACTGTCTACTTCTCTTCTTCTCCTTTCATATTCTCCTCTTGCTGTTCGAGCTTTCAAAAAATTCCCAACACAACACAACACAGAAGGCAGTTTTTATGTGAAGGAAAAAATCATATAAAATAATAGAATAATGTCTCATCATCAATATTTATTGAGCAATCTGTATTCGTATTCATAATTGCAAGGTTTCAAGTATTAGATGCATCTATTCAAGAGGAAAGTCACTTACCTAACAGTTGATGCTCTGTTCAAGCAGTAGTACAACTTCAGAATCTGTATGGAAGGATCCAGGAAATCGAGTAATCTCAGTGTCACGACCCCAACCCCGGTCGTGATGGCGCCCAACACACTGCTAGGCAAGCCTGACCAATTCAATAAACTTAACCCTTTTTATACAGTTCATGATTCAATCAACACAAATAATTACTAAGTCATAATACTGAAACTCTGAAATATAATTAAAACATGCAGAAAACCCAAATAGAAATACTACTACACAGCCCGAAGAATCCGATGTCACAAGTCTGAGCCTCTAATACACGGGTGTCAACCTACTACATATTGCTCTAAAGAAATGCGAAAATAAAGCAAACAGGTTAGATGGGAAGATCAGGACTGCGGACGTCATGCAGCTACCTTGATGCTCCTAGATATGATGCTCGGCAGAGAAATCCTCACTCAGCCTCAATGGGTGCGCATAGATCTGCACACAAGGTGCAGGGAGTAATGTGAGTACTTCCAACCCAGAGAGTAATAAACATAAATAAAGGTTGAGAGTAAGAAATCCTGGATAGGCACAATATAAGCTATTATTACAGTAGTTTAAACCAGATAATATCAAATCGGTAAACCAATGAAAGACAATAATGCTACAACAGGTAAGTAAATGAATGCCAATCAAATAAGAAATGCAACCCGTAATATGGTGCTCTCTAGTACCCGCTGCGGCGTGCAACCCGCTCCATTTATTTATCGTCGACGGCGCTCACTTGGGGTGTGCAGACTCCGAGAGGGGCCCCTTACGGCCCAAGCGGAATATCAAGCCATCTCGTGGCATCCATTAGGCCCTAAGCCTCATATCAATATCAATATAATACTGCTGCGGCGCGCAGCCCGATCCCATACTCAGTCCAGAATCATATAAGCCCCTCGGGCACAATAATATATAAATATTCAGCCCAAACTTCATTAGAAATATTATTTAAGTTCCAAGTTTTGAGAAAAAGTGGCTGAGTTTGCAAAATAGTACCAAATACTAGGACTGAGTTCAATTGTCTGAAGATATGGTAAGAAACCAGTAAAAACAATCCCTGAAGGATTCAATCAGTTGGCACGAGGCCCAATTATGACAATTAATCCATTTTTATAAGGATCTCACTAAGCTTCAATCAATTAGGTAGTAATTTTATTAAGCGGGATGGACCAAGTCACGATCCCCGACGGTGCTCTACCCCAAGCCCGTTATCCGGCGTGCAAGTCACCTCAACATAGCACTACAATGTGCAAATTCGGGGTTTCAAACCCTCAACACATCATTTACATCTATTACTAACCTCAAGCCGGCCAAAATTCTAGCTCGCTACGCCCTTGCCTCTCAAATAGACCTCCTCGCGCGTCGAATCTGACCAAAACCACAACGAATACGTCACATTATGCTATAGCATCAATACCCAATCGAAAATAATCGAAAAACATCAATAATCCTGAAATTGACAAAACCCGAGCCCCGGGCACACTTATCGAAACTCAGAAATTTTTACAGAAAAGTATTCTTCATCTTCTCCCGATTCCGTACATATAAAGAACACCAAAATCGGAGTCCGTTTGACCCCTCAAATCGACTCCTAAAGGTCTCATAATCTCATGCCCCAAAATCCTATTTTTCTACTGTATTTCATGAATAAAAGGCTGGGATTATGGTCTATAATCACCCATAAACGAGTTTTAATAGTCAAATCACTTACCTCTGTGATACCCACTGATTTTCTCTCTTAAAAATCGCCTCAGAAGCTTCTTCCCGTTCAAAAATTGGAAGAAAACTCGACCTGCTCATTATAGGTATACTGTTCACGCGTTTTACTGCTCCCAATGGATTCCTTTGAAATTATAATGAATTTAGGCTTTTGAATCACTCAATTTGACCTTATAATGAAGGCGATATGTAGGTTTTAAGATTTGCAAATAGTGCAGGTTTTTAATACGCAGTCAGGGGCAATTTCGTCATTAACCTGAAAATCTAGCAACCTTGGTAAAATGGCCATAAAATCCTCATACGATGTCCAAATTCGAAGATTCTTTTTGCTACGGGTCCGTAATTACGATATGGATCTAATGCTTCATTCAAAACAGTAATCGGAGCTCATTTGTTCAATATGATATCATTTATGCTTGAAGAAACGACGTCGAAGCATAAGAAAAACGCGCACAATGCAACCCAAACCTATCCGAAACTCACCCGAGCTCCTCGGGACCGCATACGAACATACTAACACGTCACATATGATCATTCAAACTTAGTTGCACTCTCAAAACACCAAAACTAATATCAAAACACCAAATTTACATCGGATTCAAGCCTAAGTTCTTCTAAAACTTCCGAAACACGCATTTGATCAAAAACCCAACCAAATCACCTCCGAATAACCTGAAATTTTGCACACACATCCCAAATCACCTAACGAAGCTACAACAACTCTCGGAATTCCATTCCGACCCTCGGATCAAAATCTCACCTATCAACCGGAATTCGCCAAAATACTAACTTCGCCAATTCAAGCCTAATTCTACACCGGACTTCCAAAATCACTTACGATCACACTCCTAAGTTACAAATCATCCCCCGAAGCTAACCGAATCGTCGGAATCCACATCCGAGCTCTCTAACTCATAGGTCAACATCCGGTTGACTTTTCCAAAACAAGCCTTCCTTAAAGAGACTAAGTGTCTCATTTTCTTCCAAAAATCAACCCAATTCAACACGTTCACACAAGACACTGATAATGAAGCATAACGAAGCAGGAAATGGGGGAAACGGAGCGGTTCTCATGAGACGATGGGTCGGGTCGTCACACTCAGTAACCATCTAAATGATAATAACTTAACTTTTAAAGCGTTGATGATCAATTTTTTGCAAAATATTGATCAGTTGTAGGTCAAATCTCAAACAAATTACTGCTCATAGTATAATTGTCAATTCACAAGAGGGACGCTTCAGTGATTTCATCATATACTATATTCTGTGTTGTATGATCATCGTTGCTATCAGGTATTGGTGGTCGGATCAACATTTTCACCGCACTTGAATTTTTTGCTCACGATAAAGCAACATAAAACTGACCATGTGAAAAAACAGGCTCTCACAAATAAATTCCAACAAAATCTAATGTTTGACCTTGAGCTTTATTAATAGTCATAGGAAAATATAATCTAATCGGAAATTGTGTTCTTTTGAAAGGAATAAGTAGTTTTTCATCTTGTGAAGACAACAACGATATTCTCGGAATAAATACATGCGTGTTTTTTGAATCACCACTTGCAATTTTTGCGCTTATGACATGCCTCTCAAAATTACAACATATAAGTCGTGTACCATTACATAAACCTTCGCAGGGGTTTAAATTCCGTAGCAAAATAACGGGACAATTTATTTTCACGGTTAATTTATACGGAGGTAAGCCAGGTGGGTGTAAAGTATGCAAAAAATCTTCATATTGACTTTGATCAGTCGTTTCAATAGTTTCATCAAATGTTACATATGTTCTAGATTCACCCAAAAATTGGGTTATGAGCATATCATTTATTTCGTCGACCAAATCATTTTTTGTTGTTAAGATAACACGAGAATTTGTCGAAGACATATCACAAGTAGATGTATACAAATCCGGATAGGTAATTCTAAATAACAGATTCAATGATTCTTTTTCACTTATAAAAGGAATAATGAAACAATCAGGAATTTCAATCTTACCTTGAAAGTTTAGTTTTTCTTTTCCGCTCCCTATTCGCATCAAATAGTCACAGAAAGCAGGATCTATTCTTGCTCGCATGTTTACTGATAATCGCAACTTTTCAAGTTGGTTCCAAATTTCAGAACATAATAAACTTTCTTGTATGAAATCTTCTTTTTTTCCACTTCTAACAACAGGAAGAGTTTGTCTAAAATCACCACCAAAGACGACAACTTTTGCACCAAAGAGTGTCTTTGTATCCATTAGATCTTTCAGTAGTAAATCAAAAGCTTCTATCAGCTGTTTTTTGGCCATAGATACTTCGTCCCACATGATTAGTTTGGCATCTCGTATCAATGATGCAAGTGAACTTTGCTTACTGATATTACAGGAGAAATGTTTATCAATATCAATAGGAAATTTAAAACGGGGGTGAGCAGTTTTTCCTCCTGGAAGAATTGAAGCTATGACACCAGATGTTGCTGTTGCTAGAGCTACGAATCCTTTTGATCGTACAGTAGCCAATAATGCGCGATACAAAAATATTTTACCAGTTCCTCCAGGACCATCAATAAAAAAAGCTCCACACTTATTCTTAAATATTCTATCAAGGATTATATCATATGCTTTTCTCTGATCATCGTTTAATTTTGTTTCTAGTAACAAATCCTCTTCTTTAACAATTATATTTCTTTCAAATGAGAATCTTGAGCCTCTCTTGCAGCAGAAGAAGCTAAAATTCTTTCTGGTATGAGTGTAAATTCATTTATGTCACGACCCATTGAATGTAGAATGTCATTAATATGGTTTAAGGCCATATGACGAATCTGTTTTGCATTTAAGTTTGGCAAAATCTTGAAGTCTTCGGACATAGAATCTTCAAATTGATTCCAACGTTCTTTCGGGTTAGCAGGATTACAATATACAAGAAGTGTCGCAAATAAACGTCTCAAACTATAAGGCATCTGATATCTTACAGCTTCTGACATACAATCAACTAAGTTATTATCACATTGTAATAAGCCTCGTTTTTCTGCTGCTTCTCTAAATGTACTGTAACATACTCCATTTACGGTTAGAAAATCTTGGTATGATTTTGGTCTTCTAATATTCATTAATAATAATCTAAGATAGTACCTTTCTCCTTCTATTAAATGGCATGTGACTATACATCCAATAACATCACCTTGTTTTCGACGTGTCCACATTCTATATGTTTAAATTCCTTGTAGAGCAATGCATCCTTATTTTCTCTGTTCATCACAAAGAACTCTGTCAACATGGTTTTTCTGATCATCGGGTTATTTACAATTGAATTTATCGTCTGTGTGCTTTTAAAATAGACAAATTGTTGTCCATCAAGATGTAGCTGAAGATGGTAAACAGATGGAGTCATTTCACTAATCGGAAAACCCAATAAACGCCAAGTTGCCTCTGGTGGAGTGGCTTCTAATATTTGCAAATGAACCTGTTCCATGACTGAGTTTATTTGTCATTCTTCAAAACTTCACCTGTTCTTGGGCCAAAAAATTCCCTCCAGGATAACTATACCAAATCACCTCCGAATAACTGAAATTTTTGCACAACAATCCCAAATCACCTAACGAAGCTACAACAACTCTCGAATCCATTCCGACCCTCGGATCAAAATCTCACCTATCACGGGAATTCGCCAAAATACTAACTTCGCCAATTCAAGCCTAATTCACACCGGACTTCCAAAATCACTTACGATCACACTCCTAAGTTACACAATCATCCCCGAAGCTAACCGAATCGTCGGAATCCACATCCGAGCTCTCTAACTCATAGGTCAAATCCGTGACTTTTCCAAAACAAGCCTTCCTTAAAGAGACTAAGTGTCTCTTTTCTTCCAAAAATCAACCAATTCAACACGTTCACACAAGACACTGATAATGAAAGCATAACAGAAGCAGGAAATGGGGGAAACGGAGCGTTCTCATGAGACGATGGGTCGGGTCGTCTACACTTCAGTAACCATTAAATGATAATAAACTTTAAACTTTTAAAGGGTTGATGATCAATTTTTTGCAAAATATTGATCAGTTGTAGGTCAAAGTCTCAAACAAATTACTGCTCATAGTATAATTGTCAATTTCACAAGAGGACGCTTCAGTGATTTCATCATATACTATATTCTGTGTTGTATGATCATCGTTGCATCAGGTATTGGTGTCGATCAAATTTTCACCGCACTTGAATTTTTTGCTCACGATAAAGCAACAAAAAACTGACCATGTGAAAAAAAACAGGCTTCTCCAAAATAAAATTCCAACAAAATCTAATGTTTGACCTGAGCTTTATTAATATCATAGGAAAATATAATCTAATCGGAATTGTGTTCTTTTGAAAGGAATAAGTAGTTTTTCATCTTTGAAGACAACACGATATTTCTCGGAATAAAATAACATGCGTGTTTTTTGAATCACCACTTGCAATTTTTGCGCTTATGACATGCCTCTCAAAATTAAACATATAAGTCGTGTACCATTACATAAACCTTCGCAGGGTTAAATTCCGTAGCAAAATAACGGGGACAATTTATTTTCACGTTAATTTTATACGGAGTAGCCAGGTGGGTGTAAAGTATGTCAAAAATCTTTCATATGACTTTGATCAGTCGTTCAATAGTTTCATCAAATGTTACATATGTTCTAGATTCACCCAAAAATTGGGTTATGAGCATATCATTTATTTCGTCGACCAAATCATTTTTTGTTGTAAGATAACACGAGAATTTGTCGAAACATATCACAATAGAGTATACAAATCCGGATAGTAATTCTAAATACAGATTCAATGATTCTTTTCACTTATAAAAGGAATAATGAAACAATCAGGAATTTCAATCTTACCTTGAAAGTTTAGTTTTTCTTTTCCGCCTCCATTCGCATCAAATAGTCACAGAAAGCAGATCTATTCTTGCTCGCATGTTTACTGATAATCGCAAACTTTTCAAGTTGGTTCCAAATTTAGAACATAATAAAACTTTCTTGTATGAATCTTCTTTTTTCCACTTCTAACAACAGAAGAGTTGTCTAAAATCACCACCAAAGACGACAACTTTTGCACCAAAGAGTTCTTGTAATCCATTAATCTTTTCAGTAGTAAATCAAAAAGCTTCTATCAGCTGTTTTTTGGCCATAGTACTTCCCACATGATTATTGGCATCTCGTATCAATGATGCAAGTGAACTTTGCTTACTGATATTACAGGAGAAATGTTTATCAATATCAATAGGAAATTTAAAACGGGGGTGAGCAGTTTTTCCCTGGAAGAATTGAAGCTATGACACCAGATGTTGCTGTTGCTAGAGCTACGAATCCTTTTGATCGTACAGTAGCCAATAATGCGCGATACAAAAAATTTTTACAGTCCTCCAGGACCATCAATAAAAAAAGCTCCACACTTATTCTTAAATATTCTATCAAGGATTATATCATATGCTTTCTCTGATCATCGTTTAATTTTGTTTCTAGTAAAACAATCCTCTTCTAACAATTATATTTCTTTCAAATGAGAATCTTGACCTCTCTTGCAGCAGAAGAAGCTAAATTCTTTGCTGGTATGAGTGTAATCATTTATGTCACGACCCATTGAATGTAGAATGTCATTAATATGGTTTAAGGCATATGACGAATCTGTTTTGCATTTAAGTTTGGCAAAATCTTGAAGTCTGACATAGAATCTTCAAATTGATTCCAAACGTTCTTTCGGTTAGCAGAGGATACCATATACAAGAAGTGTCGCAAATAACTCTCAAACTATAAGGCATCTATATCTTACAGCTTCTGACATACAATCAACTAATTATTATCACATTGAATAAGCCTCGTTTTTCTGCTGCTTCTCTAAATGTACTGTAACATACTCCATTTACGGTTAGAAAATCTTGGTATGATTTTGGTCTTCTAATATTCATTAATAATAATCTAAGATAGTACCTTTCTCCTTCTATTAAATGGCATGTGACTATACATCCAATAACATCACCTTGTTTTCGACGTGTCCACATTCTATATTGTTTGGACCATACAAAGTATTCCGAAAATTCCTTGTAGAGCAAATTTAACTTCTTTGCATCCTTATTTTCTCTGTTCATCACAAAGAACTCTGTCAACATGGTTTTTCTGATCATCGGGTTATTTACAATTGAATTTATCGTCTGTGTGCTTTTAAAATAGACAAATTGTTGTCCATCAAGATGTAGCTGAAGATGGTAAACAGATGGAGTCATTTCACTAATCGGAAAACCCAATAAACGCCAAGTTGCCTCTGGTGGAGAAACCCATCTAGCAAATTGATATTCTTTGATCTCATCTATTTCAATATTTGGATCATCACCATGTACGAAAAAGGCAATTTTATCATGTCCTTTACAAATATACTTATAAAGGTATTTAACAACTTTAATATCAGAACAAACTTCAACATTAATATGGCAATTAAATTTGCTCAATAGATATGGATTGTAAGGAACGACCCATGAATTGTCAAGAAATTGGCTTCTAATATTTGCAAATTTATCGTTATTTCGCCCT